TCAGAGACATTTTTTTCCCTTCATCTCTAGCCCTTTTTATTTTTATTCCCCATACTGGCCTTGAACTTGTATTCCTCCTACCTCAGCCTCCTGAGTCACTGGGATTGTAGGTGTATGCCACTGATACCAGCAGAAAGAGACATCCTTAGGTCTCGAATAATTCAGCAGAGCTCTCCCATACATACCCTGTCCCCTCTGAAGATTTGGCAGACCAGGCATTTTATCAGGTCTGCATATTCCTGGACTCCAGAGATCTGAAGCAATCTCAGAAAACATGTCAGGTTAGGGCACTAAAAAGCAGCTGCATCCTATTCCAGAAGCAGAGACTCTTAAAGTACCCAGCCCTGACAAAAGACGTGCTGGGAAGAAAAAAACAGAGAAAGAAAGAAAGGAAGGAAGGAAGGAAGGAAGGAAGGAAGGAAGGAAGGAAGGAAGGAAGGAAGGAAGGAAGGAAGGGAAATTTGAGTAATGAAAATAAATACCCCAAATGAATTCTTATGCTTAATGCAATCCCAATCAAAATATCAATGAGGGTTCAATGGTAGAACACTTGTCTAGCACGTGTTCTAGTGTGAGGCACTTAAGTTGGAGCCTGATCACCAAATAAATAAATAAATAAAATACAGTTATAAAAAAATCAATGATATTAAGAAAGAAAGTAGATTAGTGGTTGCCCTGGTTTGGAGTGGGAACAGGAATGGACTACAAAAGGGAAGAGGGATCTTTTTGGCATGGTGGAAATGTTCTAAAACTGGATTGTGAATGATAGTTATACAGTTCTGAACTGTGTACATTAAACTATATACCTAGTTGGGGGGTAGTGCATGCCTGTAATCCAAGCTACTCAGGAGGCTAAGGCAGGAGGATTGCGAGTTTGAGGCCAGCCTGGGCAACTTAGACCCTGTCTCAAAGGGGAAAAAAATGGGGCTGGGAATGTAGTTCAGTGGTAAAACTGTGCCCCTCTTTTCAAGTCCCAGTACAAAAATAAGTAAATAAATTATATATTTAAAATAAATAAATGATTTCATTATATGTAAATTATATCTCAATAAAGCTATTTTAAAATACATATCTAACAAGTTTTCCAAAAGATTATTCAAAATGCAAATCTGGGGGCTGGTATAGCTCAGTGGTAGAGGCCCTGAAATCAATTCCAAGGACAGTAAAAAGAAAAAAAAATTCAAGTCTTCCTTTAGTTATTCATGAAAGGATTTAATTGGCTTTATAATCTTATTAAAAGTAAGTCATCACTTTTTTAAAGATAAATTTTGTTAAAATGGTGAACATAGAGATATAAAGTAAAGGCCAGGTGTGGTGGTGCATGCCTATAATACCTGCAACTTTAGAGATTGAGGCAGGAGAATTTCAGGTTTGAAACCAGCCTTGGCAACTTGGCAAGGTCCTAAGCAACTTAGTGAGACCCTGTCTCAAAATAAAAAATAAACAAGGGGGCTGGGGATGTGGCTCAAGCCGTTTCGCGCTCGCCTGGCATGCGTGCGGCCCGGGTTCGATCCTCAGCACCACATACAAACAAAGATGTTGTGTCCGCCAAATACTAAAAAATAAGTATAAAAAATAATAATAAAAAAAACAAACAAGGATGGGGATGTGGCTCAGTGGTGAAGCAACCCTGGTTTCAATCCCCAGTGCCATCAAAAAATAAATAAATAAAAATCATACACATAGAAAGTATTTAGAAACCTTAGTGAAATGTTCATGAAATGAGAATAAAGAATGATATAAAGCTAAATCAGATAAGTACACGTATGAAGACACGAATGGTGTGATTCTACTTTCTACTTTGTGTACAACCAGAGAAATGAAAAATTGTGCTCTATATGTGTACTATGAATTGAAATGCATTCTGCCGTCATGTATAACAAATTAGAATAAATAAATGAATTTTTAAAAAAACTAAATCAGAGTAACAGTGAAAATTAAATTTTAAAAATTAAAAAGTAATAAAACTGTGTATATTAGAGACTGTTAGAGTCACCATGATATAACACCATCTCTTGGATAATGGCTCTCTCTGAATAGTAGATTATAGATGAATTTTACTTTCTCCTTTTAATTTTTAGGGTTTCTCCTATATTTTCTTTTTTTTTAAGTTGTCAATGGACTTTTATTTTATTTATTTATATGTGGTGCTGAAAAATCAAACCCACTGCCTCACATATGCTAGGTAAGTGCTCTACCACTGAGCTACAAGCACAGCCCTTCTCCCATATTTTCTATATTTCCTCTTATAATCAGAAAAATAAGATTTTTTATTAGCTGGAATCTTTAATATGTATTAGCATAAAGTTAACAACTCTGAGGATTGCTCTTCAAACTTGATTTGTTAAAGCACATAATATCATACCAACATAACTGGTTTGTTCTGACAGATTATTCTGCCACTCTTTTTAAAAAATAGGATTTTTGTACTGAAGATTAAACCCAGGGGTGCTGTACCACCAGGCTACAACACCAGCCATTTTTATTTTTATTTTGAGACAGGGTCTCACTAAGTGGCCCAGGCTGTTCTCAAACTTGGGATCCTGCTGCTCAGCCTCCCAAGTAACTAGAATTACAGAATTACATGTGCTAGCACACCTTGACTTAATTTTATTTTTAATTTGGTAGGATAAAAATATGAAAAACCAAATTTGTTCACTAAAAAAACAACAACTTAAAAATATGCATCTATGTTAAATATATTTTTCATGTGTATATTTAAAAAAAAACTTTTTAAATTAGAAAAAAATTCTGATCATGGCGATATGCCTGTAATCCTAGCAACTTGGAAGGCTGAGGTGGAAGGATCACAAGTTCAAGGCCAGTCTCAGAAATTTAATGAGGCCATAAGCAAGTTTCAAAATAAAAACTAAAAACTAAAAAGGGGGCTGGGAATGTGGCTCAGCAGTTAAATGTCCCTGAGTTCCATCCCTGGTACAAAAAGAAAAAAAAATCATTAGTTAATTAATTTAAAAAAATTAAAATCACACAAGGTTTTGCAGAAGTAATGAAATCAATTCAACCTCTCAGATGCCTGCACTATCCCTGCCATCCCCCACCTTTGGAAGGGGTGGGACTGGCACATCCTGCCTGGGACCTGCCTGGAAGATGCAGCCACCCTGGTGTGGGGTTCCCCATACCCAGTGAAGTGAGATTCACACACAGACTTGGCAATCAGCCTACTCACTTCCGAAGTGAAATCCCTAGGGATCTACAAGGGCCATCTCTCCAGAAAGGCCCTGCAGTCCAACATGTAGGCTGTCAGGCATGTGGAGCAGTCCCAGCAAGCTTTCCCTGGGCCCCCAAGAATTTGGCACACCAGTACCCCATATTACCTGAGACCAAGCACAAAGAGTCAAGTAAGCAATAGAGTCCAGAGTCCGGTCCAAGGTCCTTGAGGTTTGCCCCACTCCAAAGCCCTCTGAAATAACTGTTTCCACAGTCTGACCTTAGCATCCACTGAAATAAAGCCATGTCCCTGGTCACCCTTGAACATGGGCTCTCCTTAACCTCCACCAAGCACTCTTTTCCCTTTGCTCTCCCAGAGGTGCTGTATCAGCTTGTCCCTTGTGTGTTTACTGTTTCAAGAAACCATCTGTCCTCTGTCCACACACTTGTGAAACACTACTGCCCAATCTTCTTCCTGTTCTTCAGAAAGCCTCTATTTCCCCAGTGCAGGAATCCTGCTTCCTCTACCCTTAGAAAAAGTCTATCTTAGTTCCTGCCAAAATCAGAAGCTATCTCCACTTAGGATTGCCAGATTTAGTAAAAAGAATTACAGGACACCCAATTCAATCAGAATTTTAGATAAGCAATTGATAATTTCTTATTATAAATATGTCCCTGCACGCCTATAAACCCAGCTACTGGCTCAGTGGTTAAGCTCCCTGAGTTCAATCCCTGGTATCAAGAAATGAAATTTAAAAAGTAAATAAATTTTTAAAATAAAAAAAAAGGCTGGGAACAGAGCTCAGTGGTAGAGTGCTTGCCTAGCATGCATGAAGCCCTAGGTTCCCTCCCTAGTACCGCTAATCAAACAAATAAACAGATAGATAAATATGTTCTATCTATTTTATCTACTTCACCATCACTCTTGAAACTCATAAGAACTATTGTCTTCTTTCTATCATGCTGTACAACACCCGCTCCCTAAACCCCTGGGAAATCCTGCCCACCCTCTGCCCCTGGAACATAAAACATGAACCCTACTGTTAATCTTATCAGTCCTGATCCTCCAGTTCCTTAGTGTCTAGACCCATTTGCCTCTGCCCTTAACAAGTGGACACCCCAATACCCCTGCACCTCACACAAAACCTCCTCTTTTCTCTGTTGTCTACCTTCTCCCCAGAAACTGATGGTACTCTTGTTCCCAGAATATTAATATTTTATACCAACTGCTATTTATTTAGTTCTTAATGTGTCAGGCTAAGCACCTTAGTTCCCACAACAGCCCTATGAAGTTCGTATTGTTAATATTATTTTATGACGGGCCCAATATCACAAGTTGGTAAGGTAGTTTGGTATATACCTGACTCTAAAACCTTACATAAGCCCAGATTAAACCAGCATGTCCTAGACATTCAGTATGTTTAAAAATCTAATGAGCATTCAGGTTGAGACCTGCCACTGGACACTCCACCACACTCCTACTGCTCAGTCCTCCCACCCATGGAATGTGGGGGGCATCTCTCCACTGGCCCATTCCTCCCCCAGAGAACGTCTTCCTTCCCTCCTCTGAGGCACAGCCCCCTTGGCTGTGAACTCCCACATCTCAGAAGAGAAAGACACAGTCAAGCTGTGCTGCCTACATGTCTGGCAAGTGGAGATTGGCTGAGCAAGGTTCATGCCTATGGTCCCCTGCTCCTGGCTGGCACTCCCTTGCCTCCCCACCCCCTTCTATAAATAGTCCACTGCTCACTGGCTGCCAAGCTGTTACGGCAAGAGTTTCCATGAGGTCAGCTTCCCAGAGCAGCCTCCAAGTACCCAACACCCACACTCACCTCTCCTGGAGTCCTGTGGCCTGCTCGCCCCTGCAAGGGGCTGTCCCGAGTGCCATGTCTCCGGCGGGCAGGGGGTGTTGGCACGGGGGCAGAAGCCTGAGACGGGGCTTTCCCTAAGTTCTGGGCCTCATGTTCTGGAGCTTGACCCGAAGAAGAAATGGGCTTGCTGTCAGCGGTGGGCTCGCCTTTGGGCTTTGGAGGGGCAAATCTCTTCCTGTTGAAAGGCCGAGCTGGCTGGGGAGCCAAGGAGGATGTAGGCTGGCCAGAGGTGGCAGGTGCCCCCTCACCTCTTGCCTTGATGGGTACCTTCCCCAAGGGACTGTTTCCAGATGCCTTGACACTTGGGGGTGGGGACTCCTCCTCCCCCTGAGGCCCGATAGCTTGAGAGTTCTCCATGTACATGTCCTTCAGGGAGAAATACACTTGCTGGTCTGCACTTAGGGCTGGGACAGGGGCTGGGGGCTGGGAATGGGTTAGGGCAGAGGCATCCTGGGCCTTGTCTTGAGTGCCCACAGTAGAGGCTGGCTGCCTGGTGCTATCTGTTCCAGAAGACTCAGGTCCCCGTGCCACCCTGCCTCTAGGATGGGTCTGAACCTCCTCCATGTCCATGGGACCCTGTGTCCCGCGAGGACCAGGTTTGTTTGAGCTGGAGACAGAGTTTTCTGAAGAGCGGTGGCTTCGGGCTGCCTTCTCTATTTCTGGCTTCTGCCGATCTGGCTTAGATTTCTCATCTTTTCTTTTCTTCTTGGCCCCAGACTCCTTTTGGGGGGCTCTCTGAGGCCCCAGCTCCATGGCCTCACAGATGTATGTCAGCAAGCCATGCTCCCCATCCTCCCCATTCTCGGGGGCAGGCTCCCCATTGGTGGGCACCTCTCCAGGAGCAAAACTGTTGATCAGACCCAGACCAGGGTGCTCAGATTCACTTTCTCCTTCCTGCCAAGCTGCCGAGGTCCCATCTTCAGCCTCCCTGGTTGGGGCTGAGGACACTGGCACTTCAGCCCCGCTCAGTCGCCGCTTTCGCTGGAAGCGGTCAGGGCTGAGCTTGCGCAGGGTGTCCACCTCATCTGCAGCATCCTTCCCATGCTTCCAGCTCTGCTCAATCTCCCGCAATTTGGCTGCAGCCTTGCGCTTCAACTTGGCAAACCAGCGCTGGTGGATCTTGTACTCTGTCATGGTGCCCACTTCCAGGACCCCTGAGCAGGACACAATGCCCTTGGAGTTCCGGGCAGAGGCCTGGTAGATGGCGGCATCTTCTTCTCGACACCTAGAAGTAGGAGCATGAGGTGCCACCCCCCACCCCGGAGGTGACAGCCCACCCCGGAGGTGACAGCCCCCCCCTGCTCCCCACAGCCAGAACCTTCCAGAGCTGAGCATGCACCCTCTCCCCATCACCAGACGGGCCCTGAGTGCCACATCCCATCTCAGATGTCACCACAGCCCTCACCCTCTGTTAGAATTGAAGGAACTGAGGCCACAAGAAGGTGGCAGCTGACCAAGTTCATGCTGTCCCAGGAGGGATTAGATTAGACTTGGGGCTCAGGAGAGCTCCCTTCAGAAGCAGGTGACCAGCGCAGCCCCTTGTGAAGTCACGATGACAGAGTTGCTTTTTTTGGCTGCCGACCTCATGGAAAATGTGGGTCAGGATCTCCTCTGGTTGCACTCAGCTCTGTGACTGTCAGAAATACTCCCACCCTGGCCTTAGGAGATCCCGGCCACTGGCAGGCAAACAGTTATCCAGGTGGTTCAACTCAGTGGCAGACCTGCCTCTCGTTTCAGATAGTGCCTGGGTACCTCCACCCAGCCTGCTCCATCTCTGAGGGCACAATCCAGGTGCAGGACCCTTAGGAGGGCAGAGAGTGCAGAACAGGCCACTCTCCCTCACCTGTACAGCTGCAGTGTGTGACGGTTACCCTGATGAGTGATCTCATATTTTGGCAAACCACAGTATCGGTCCAGTTCTATGTCATCCTTGTACCAAGTCACCTCTGGTTCTGGGTATCCTGAGAAGGAAGCAGATTGGGTTGCAGGAAGGTGAGTTCCAAAATAGTGGGAGGAGAGAAAAGGAAGCCAGGATTTCCTCAGAGCACCTGAAAAGAATTGGACAGGACCACCTGCCTCAGGCCTTCTGGAAGCACAGGGCCCTTTGTGTGACTCAGCTTATTTTTAGAAATTAGAAAAAAATGTGAGAGCTGAAAACATTTACACTTCCAGCTAAAAGGGAAATATGGAGGAGAAACTTCCTAGCTTCATGTAGAAATGGTAGTGAAGAATTTCCAAAAATCGTTGACTGGTAGTAATGAGCTCTCTTTCTATGTGGCCCATTTTACCTCCTCAATTGTAGTAAGGGCTTCATCCTCAGAGGTCTCCCCAAAATTCCACTACTACCATCAATGCCAAGAGTCCTCCTCTTTTCATTACAAGTTCCTGGGCTGCATTATTTGACAACACAACTAAAACATCCATCTGTCCATCCATCCATTCATTCATTCATCACCCATCTATACACCCATCCACACCTATCTACCCACTCAGTCACTATAGTGAGACTGACTGAGGTGTCTACCCAGCCCCTCTTTTCTGAAGACTCCCAGCCACCCACAGAGAAGAGATCCCAACTATTACAGTCAAATATTTCTTGCCTGCCTGGCCACAGCTGATCAGCCCAGTAGTAGACATCAAAAGAACTAAATGAATCCAATCCTTTGACCTAGGATTTGAGAAACAGGACCAAGAAACAGTTTACCATTGTGTCTAGAAATATATCTCAAAGGGGCAAAGTAGTTATGCTTTGCCACATGAACTAAGAAGTAGATAAAGCTGGTCTGCAGTGTGATGGGAAAATGAAATTGACATTCAGGATAGAATCAGAGCTTCCAAAAACTGCTTCCAAATACTGGTACCATTCCTTGTCTGCACACAGTCTGACCAGTGAATTCTGCTTCATTTCTTGAGCTACCTCCAACTGATTAGCATCACTTGTTAGAAATCAAAGACTCCTAACATTCATTTACTTAAACACACACAGCATGTAAGCCAGGGACTCTGTTCTCAGGGAATTTATCTTCCTGTAGAAAAGATATGTGCCCACGCACGGGAGCAGTGTACCTGGCACCTGCACGCACTCTGCCTTCCCTACTGTCTGTGGACAAACCACACTTTTGTCAAGAGCAGACCCTCACTGGACTCCACCTCCTCTCGTCAATCAAGGCCATCTCTCCAACAATCGTTCCAGCTCTCTCCTGCATCATCCAAATTTTTTTCTTTATTACATCATTCCTGTCCACATACAAGCCTGCTGAAGTGTTGTCCTTCTTTAAAAAGAACTTCCTTTGGTCCCACAACTTCCTTAGTGCCTGCCCCCATTTCTCTGCTTTCTCCTTTACAGCAAAAGTATTTTTAAAAGTTGTATATCAACAGGGCGCCTACTAATCCCAGTGACTAGGGAGTCTAAGGCAGGAGGATCCCAGGTTCAAAGCCAGCCTGGGCAATTTAGAAAAATCCTGCCTCAAAATAAAAAATGAAAAGGGCTGTGGGGCTGGGGATGTAGCTCCGTGGTAGAGCAATTGCCTAACATGTGTAAGGCACTGGGTTTGATTCTCAGCACCACATAAAAATAAATAAAGGTATTATGTCCAATTACAACTTAAAAAAAGTGTGTTTTTTTAATAAAAAAGGCTGTGGATATAGCCATTATGTAGGCATAAGAATTGGCCATCATATTCAGTAATGCCAAGTGGGTGACCTTGGCAGGAGCAATTCTGATGCAGTGATAAGTGAAAAGCCTGGTTGGAAGAGGGAAGTGAAGATAGCAAGTATAGACAAATTTTTTATTTCTTTTTTTGCAGTACGGGGCTTGAACCCAGGGGTGCTCTACATTGAGCTACACCCCCAGCCCTTTTTTATTTTGTATTTTATTTTTCACTAAGATGCTTAGGACCTCACTAAATTGCCCAGGCTGGCCTTGAATTTGTGATCCTCCTGCCTCAGCCTCCCAAGCTGCTGGGAATTATAGGCATAAGCCACTGCACCCAACTGATCCTTTTTCATTCCTTTCTTTTGCTCACATCTACTCCCTTAGAAATCACATCAGCCCTCCCTTTAGAATAGATCTCAAGTGTGATCACCTTGCCATTCCCCACCCAACCTCAGTGTGGTCCATATCACCATCATCTCCACTTGGATATCTGCAATAACTCAGCTGATCTCACCACTCCCATCCTGACCATTTTTCAGCTCATTCTTGGCACAACAGCCAGAATAAGCCTTTTGAAATAGAGTCAGCTCATGGCATACCTCTGCTCAAAACCTGACAGCTCCTGTCTCACCCAAGCTCTCCTGGTAAGGGCCCGGGTGCCTCATTTCCTACCACACCCCAGTCATGTGGTCCCACTGTTCACCTAACATACCACAAAAGCATCACATCTCAGTTCCCACGGGTCTCTGTTCTTCTGTTACCTCCTCATAGAGGCCTTCCTTATGCCCTGGGCAAAATATGCCCCCCCCAGAACTTCCTATCCACCCCCAACTTCTTTTTTTGTCAGTACTGGGGATTGAACCCAAGAGTATTCATATTCTTCTGAGATACCTCCCTAGCCCTTTTTATTTTTATTTTGAAATAAGATCTTGCCAAGTTTCCCAGGTTGGCGTTGAACTTGCAATCAACCTGCCTCAGCCTCCCAAGTAACTGGAATTATAGGTATGCACACTGCACACAGCTCTGATCCTGGTTAATGTTTATTTGTCTTCAAAGAATACATTGCTACCTGATATACACTATGAGTTTGTTAGGTTATGAGCATCCTGCCCAACACTGTCTCCCATCCCCTGTGGAATATCAGCTCTGTGACAGCAGGGATTTATCTATGTTATTCACCGCTGTGTCCCCAGTTCCTAGAATAGCACCTGATATGGAATCAACACTCATTAAATATTTATAGATGCATACATAAGCACCGTACAAAGAGCTCAGGGTGAAGGGAAGGGAGCAATCAACTCCAGCTGGGAAATCAGGGAAGGCTTTTGGAGTAAGTGGCATTTGAATTAGACTTAAAGAATAGGCAGAATTTCAGAAAATTTGGGTTTAGCACCTCCAATCAGTTCTAACACCATCTGTACTTCTCCTTCATAGCTAATTATAATATTGTAATAGACTATTTCCTTGTCTCTTTCTCCTGCTAGTCTCAGGTCCCATGTGGGCAGGAATTTAGCCTGGTTAACCTAACATGGTACCTGGAACATAGTAGTTACTTACTTAAACCTGTTGGATGAGTGAGTAAATGAGTAAGAAAATGAGTGAGCAAACAAGAAGTGGATGGGAAGGGTGTGCTTGACAAAAACCCAACAGCAACAGAGTGTGAGAGGGAAAGCAAAGGGCACTCTGGGGAACTGTGTACAGGAGCAGGGAGCAAGGGAGGCAAGGCTGCAGCTGGCTCCACCAGGATAAACTTCAGGCAGCCCTGGCTGTAAAGTGAGCCCCATGTTTCCACTGTGGTTAAAGCCCCTGGTTACATCACCCTCTCTCTCTCTCTCTCTCTCTCTCTCTCTCTCTCTCTGTGTGTGTGTGTGTGTGTGTGTGTGTGTGTGTATGGCCAGGGCCAGCACAGGTGTCCTCACCATCCCGTGGAATGATCTCATCCCTGCAAGGGCCCAGCTCAGTCTCCCTGCCCCCATGACCTGCCCAGCACGCCTCAGCCTCCAGGGCATCTGAGTCCAGAGAAGCTGGGGAAGGGAGGAGGGGCGGGGCAAGGAGAGGGATGTTGAGTGGACTGCGCAGCCCCATGGGCCCCATGGCTGGGTCCTCAGCCCCCATGCCACCCTCTTGTGCCTCTACACAAAGTGCAGGTCAACAGCTTAGGGCTTCATAGTGACATTGGACTTGGAAGCAAATTTATTTGGGAGAAAATACTGCCTTGTCCCATCTATATTCTAAAATAAACAAAAGCAGGAGGGGTCTGGGTGCTTTGCGCCCAGCTGCTCACACATGCATGTTTTCACATGTGTGCTTATAGGAAGGTGCTTACACACACATTTGGCTCAGGGCTGCAGTACCATGTTGGTTCCTGAACATGTGGCCCTCCCTCTGCCCTTTCCCACTCCGTGATCTCTGTTTCACAGCCAGCAGGTTTGACTGGGGAAGCCAACTCAGAGATCTGCAGTCTCACCCCAATGGATTCTGGTTAAGAGAAGCTCAGATTCAGAAGAAGAAAAGGAAATGAACATTTAAAGTTTTCAAAGAACTTTCAAATACATAATTTCATTTGGGCCTCAGAATAACTCTGTGCAAAAAAAACTGTTCACATTTACTGAAGACTTACTGTATGCCAGATACTGAGATGAATGCTTTTCACGTATACAGGACTTTTTTTTTTTTAACCCAGGAGCTACATCCCTAGCTCTTTTTAAAATTGTAAATGTTGAGACAGGGTCCTGCTAAATTATGCCAAGGCTGGCCTTGAATTTGCAATCCTCCTGCCTCAGCCTCCTGGGTGGCTGGGATTATAGGTGTGTACTTATAGGACTGGCTCTTTTTGTGTATTATCATCTAATTCTTACAAAAATTCAGTGAGGAGTACACTATTACAAACCCTCAATTTAAGGAAGAGGAAATCAAGGCTCATGAAATTAAGGCTCTTGCCCCAAGTCATCTGGCTAGTAAGCAAAAGAGCCAGAATTTAAATCTCTCTCTGCTATAAAATGGCAGGTGTTTTAATCCCTACTTTACAGAAAAGGGAAAGGAGGCTCAGAGAAGTTAAGTAATGTGCAGGGTCACACGGCAGCATGTGACATAGCCCCAGGTTTCCTTTTTCTTTTTCCAGTGCCCTTTCCAATAGGCATTCTTAGACCAACATATGAGTTTTGCTCACAGCAGCCATAGTAAACATGTTTCTCTAAAAAAGACTTATTCTGGAACTTTGGTTCTTTCTAAAGGCTCAGTCCCTCTGTCCAGCCTGCCTATGGCTGATGCTTCCTCATCTCACTCCAACATACATGTACTCGCATG